ATAATTTTTTTGTTGAGCACACACACACACACAAATGATATACGAAGTACTATTAATAACTTAGAAACTTTGGTGCAATTTTCGACTTTACGCCACCCTTCTCAAGTATTGTACATGACCTGATACTGCTCATGTTGTTTGATAGTGGGAAATCTACTTCAAGTTATATATTTACACTAGCTGGGGACATCTCATGGGAATCCAAATTGCATAAATGTGTAGCATTGTTCACATTAGAAGTTGAATACAAATATACAATGTCGCACGTGTAGCTGGAAAAGAGCTTAAGTGGCTAAAATTCTTCTCCAAGAGTTGGATTGTCCTCAAGAGGAGTACATCATTCATTGTGATAGTCGGATTGTTGAAGATCTCAACAATAACTCAATGTATCATTCACACAAAACATATCGATGTTTGATATGATATCACTTTTGAGAACCAGCCGAGGAACATGAACTAAAACTCTCAAAGATTCACATAAACAAGAATGTTGCAGAAATGTTAACCAAGGTTACATCACACGAGAAGCATAAGCTATGTACAAGTATCATCAGAATGAGAAAAATATGGAAGAAGCTGAATGAGAAGATTTGTAGGACTTCACCTTCTAAAGAGTTTCGTTCCAACAAATAGGTATGGATTTATGAAGCACTATCTCTTGGCCCAACTAGGCCTATAAATAGGAAGTTTGTTGTTGTTCACTTCATCAAATAAAAAAGGAAGAAAAGTGTGTAGAGTGATGGTTGGGTTTTTGTTGTTGATGGAGTTTGACTCCTCATGCATTCTGTTCTTGTTATTGAATAGAAGTTTCAATCCTAACAACCCTTTCAATGGCTCCAATCTTTTGATACTTTTCCGATGGACACCATATTTCAACAAACAAACACAAACATCTCATGTTTTGGATTTTTATATGGTTCTCGGTCCACTTATTCGGTATACAGGTGTTGACTAAATTACTACAACAATTTTAAATGTAGTGATTATTGTAATAACTTAGTTGTTGGGATATATTATCCCGGCCTACTACTGTTCAAAGGCCCAAGGCATCATCCCGACATGGAGCCCAGTCGGCGAGGCCCATTCAGGCCTACCCGACCCATTTCAGCCCAACCGGCCCATATTAGGCCCATCTAGGCCTGTTGGCCCATGAGAATAACCTTGCCCCCCCCCCCCTCCTTCTATAAATAGGAGAAGGAAAGGCCTTCTCCAGGAGGCTACTTCTCCTTCCTTATTTTTGTAGATAAGTTGTTCAAGCTCCATTAATGGAGTCCCAAGATATTTGTACTATGTAAATGGTGAGGAGAGAATTAATGAGAAAGAGAGCGCTTGAACATTAGCCTAAAAAGTCCCGTGGTTTTCTTCCTTTCGGGTTTCCACGTAAAGATCGAGTGTTATACTAAATTATATCTATATTTACTATTTTATGTTGGATTAAACTCAACATTGGCGCCGTCTGTGGAAAAAGTTCAAAAAGATCTACATGTTCTTGATTCTACAAAGCTACTGATCTCAGGAAGAAATGGATGAAAAAATGATTCAGGAAAAATTTAGAAAAAAGAATAAGAATGGAAGGAGTCCAGATCCAGTCTAACAGCTTGGTCCTTAGTCCAAATTTTTACAATGTTTATATGAAGAAGACAATGAATTTCAACAACAGAAAAGCGAAAAAACAATCCGAAGAGACCAAGCAACAACCTTCCAGGCTTTAACAGAGGGACAAGAAACCAAAGAGTTCCTGATTCTAGGCAGAAAGCAGGTCGTGCTCCAGCCAGACAACCCGCGCGAGCCAGGATGCTCAAGGTAGCTTCACCAAGGTAGCCGCTACCGAGGAAGAATCGCCAGAGCTTACCACAGGGGAGAGCAACAGGAGATCCAAAGACTCTAAGTGGTGAGTGGGACCCGCGTGCCCCCAGGTAATATGTAGAGGAGTGGAAGCCTACTCTCACGTGGGGAGCCTGACAACATGATTGACGATTTGACAGACTCACGATTATCCAAAACAAAAACAAAAACAAAAAAAGCCATTTCCCGAGCGGAGACTCCCGAACACCAAAGCTAACAACTGTACCTGAAGGGAATCCAGGGGGCCACCCAGACGCTATCATACATATTCTGCATGGTGCTTAAGAAATTTTGACTGTCGTCACCGGCTATCTAATCAGAGATGCCGCTCAGAGGTCCCGTTCGGGATAAAGGAACTAGTCCCTTGCTGCTCGTTCAAAGCTGATCATCCTTACAGAAGCCAATCACCTCCAAACCTCCAAAGTGTGGCCCCGATCGCTCAATAGAAACAACACCAATGCAAAAAAGGACCACTAGCAACCTCGGATGGGAGTTTTCCCGAACGGTCAAATTAGAAGGGACTCCACTGAGGGGCAATTAAAGGCACATTCCATATACTTCGCATACGGGCAACACCAACTGATCTAATTAATCATAAAACAGAGGGACTCCATCGAGGGGAAGCCAACGAAGGCAGCAGGGATGATGTGTTGAATCCCCACCCTACTGTCGTACATCGCTCAGCCATGTCCGACGCTCTGGGGCACCGACCGAGGTTTTGCCTAACCGCCATACCCGTTCTGGAAAAAAAGGCAGGTCCGACCAGACAATCTCATAGCTCGGTCTCAGCCATCTGGTGGATTTGCAGACCGTTCACCCTCCGAGTCGATTCGGGCGCAAAGGCCATTCGGCACCTTGTCACTTGGATTTCCGCCGCTCAGTAATTTCCCGGTCAGCACCCCCACAGTTCGCGTGAATCCGGGGAAGTGTCGTTAAGTGCCCATGGTTCGCCAAGACTGGAAAAAGGGGAAGCTCGAACGACTTCTTGAAGTCTCGACCGGCCAAATATTCTAAACTTCAACCTGGGGCAGTGGGCTGAGCCACACTCAAACGGATCCTCCTTAACAGGCCAGTATGTCTGCAAGACAGTTAATGTTCCGCCATATAGCTAAGTACCACCGTTCTTCCACTCCCATATTTAATTTTAAATAGTGTTATTGTTATTACATTTGTATATCACCGGTTTTTATTTAGGGATTAAAATATCCCGAGTCAAATGGTGTCGAGCGAAGCTTTAGTGATAACCTCATCATCATTTCAAATTAAATGATTGGTTTTTGTGGGCCGTCGGTCCACCCTCGATTGACTATAATTAAGTGATCGATGTGTCTTCCGGGGGTATTACCCCAACGATTCATTTTAATTCCGAGGGCACATGCGGTCCCACTCGGCACCAAATGCTCATTCATGAAAATATTAATGACTTGATATAGTATCACTACTATTAATTACACATCGTCATTATTTGTTAAGGATTAAAAGATCCTGAATAAAATAATGTCTAAGGACGCTTTATTAACAAGTCCACCAACACTTTAATTAAATGAATGGTTTGAGTTAGCGCATGGGTCCACCCCCGATCGGCTCAAATTAGTTGACTGAAGCGTCTCGCGAAGGCATTACCCGATGACATATCTTAATTTAGAGACCATTCATGGTCCCGTGCGGCAGTGAGTGCCCGCTCGACAACTGTACCCATTACGGGGCGAAGTACGTACTGAGAATGCCCGACAAACCACTAGGTGACTGCACCTTACCTATCACTTATGCATGTCTTGCGTCTGAGACTATTCGACGACATCGATTCAGGGAAGGAAAGGAAGAACGTGAGCAAGAGTATACTTTCTCGAGTAGATTCACACGCTCGCTACTCAAGAAACTGGGTGACTTATGTTGGGATATATTATCCCGGCCTACTACTGTTCAAAGGCCCAAGGCATCACCCCAGCATGGAGCCCAGTCGTCGAAGCCCATTTAGGCCTACCTGACCCATTTCGGCCCAACCGGCCCATATTAGGCCCATTTAGGCCTATTGGCCCATGAGAATAACCTTGTACCCCCTCCCCTTCTATAAATAGGAGAAGGAAAGGCCTTCTCCAAGAGGCTACTTCTCCTTCCTTATTTTTGTAGATTAGTTGTTCAAGCTCCATTAATGGAGTCCCAAGATATTTGTACTATGTAAATGGTGAGGAGAGTATTAATGAGAAATAGAGGGCTTGGACATTAGCCTAAAAAGTCCTGTAGTTTTCTCCCTTTCAGGTTTCCACGTAAAGGTCGAGTGTTATACCAAATTATATCTATATTTACTATTTTATGTTTGATTAAACTCAACATTAGTCATAGTAACTTATGTTTGATCTTTAGACTTAAGTGACCACGAGATTATACTATAATAACCATTAGTCATACAACAACAATATTCAACCTTTAATCGCAAAAGATTTTGAGATTGACGGTAACTAGTAGTCATATTTGTAAATATGTTTCATTTAAGTGATATTAAAAAAAATTATTCATGTATTGACATAGTGAATATTAGTGTTTATTGACTATACTAAGTTGTGAATAGTTCACTAAGAGTAAACATAACTTTCATATTGACGTGAATATTGACGTGAAGAATATTTATTTTTATAGACGATGTTGGGTTACACACTTACACATAGTCTAACAAAAGCTAAGAAATATTGCAGACTATCAGTTTTGAAATATTTAATATGCACTTATATATAATGGCTAAATTATGTTTAGCCATTATATATACGTGGTCATATTTAGAAATTAGAAGCACTATGATATTTGTACATCATTTTAACTTACTTCTTCAGCCTAAATTGATTTGCAATTTGAGAATTTTAAAAATGACGGTTAGTAAGTCTTTTTTGTTGATTAAATTTTATGAATTTATATAAAAAAAATCTAGTGAATCGTAACATACAATATGATTTTGATATTTGAGATTATTATAAATAAAAGAAAATCAAGTCAAAAAACAATAAATCTTTTTGGGTAAATGAGATATCATAGTCCGAGATAGCGTTGTGGGCCTGTGGCAGGTCAGCCTATAATCTTTGGCCCATTTTGGAATCCCGAAGATCACGTTCCCACAATTGTCGCCGTTAAAACGCGACGTTCGCCGTGCACCGACAGTAACTTTCCTAACCTCTTTTTGGGCTCGGTTACTCCGAGCCTCAGGTTAGGTTGGAGTCACCCCTTAACCCCCTCAGTCTTCCTCACTCGGACAAGTCACCCACCAACGAGAGAGGGCATCAAAACCAGTCCAAAACCAAGACCAATTTTTTTCTCTCCGATGGATCACGCCGGCGAGCACGAATCTGTTTTGGATAAGATCGTTCAAAGTCCACTCGTTAACGATTCTTCATCGGATTCAGATAACGAGAAGGACAAGAAGTCCAAAGTCGACGCCGTCAAGGCCAAGATCTATCGTCTTTTCGGCCGTGAGAAGCCAGTTCACAATGTGCTAGGCGGTGGAAAACGTAAGTTCATTGGAGAATGTCTTCTGTTCCAAATGTTCAATACTTCGGTTAGTAGATATGGTGATTTGAGGATGGGTGTGATGGGTTTAATCATCAATAAACAAGAAATTAGTATCAATAGTTTTCTCATTCCTGTATTAGTATGTAGTAGTGCTTTTTTTGAAACTGTTAATATGAATATCTACAACACATGTGTCATTTCTTCCATTAGCTAGGAAAAATTATTTGGTAATTGTATTTTATATTTACGATGTTTTCGATGGCTTTCTATGAGCCTTAAATAATACGGAGTATTTTATTGTCATTTTTGTATACCAGTCTTTGGAATTATCAATAATAGACCTTGGTTTGGCAAAAATTGAGATATGCTAATAGACCAGCTTGGTTATGTTCTTCGTGTAAGCATTTTTTATACAAAAATGCTTGGTGTACACTGTTTTTTGTACACCATTCACACACTTTGTCAGACTAAATTTATAGAATTGTCTGTATACAGACAACTTTGTCTGTGTAGACAAACGAAGTGTGTGAATGGTGTAGGTGTACACCAAGCATTTTTGTTTTTTATAACTTCTGATATTGTGAGACTTGTTTGATTTGTGGAAGGAGACCGGTGTGCTGTTTTTCTCTCTTGTTTTCTAGTTGGGACTTCATTATGGGCTGCCTTTCAAAAAAAAAATAAGACATAATTCACGGAATTTGTCTTCTGTATGGTTCTTTATTTCTAGTTGTTCTCATTGTTTACTCTACTGCAGCTGCTGATATTTTCCTCTGGAGGGACAAGAAAGTCACTGCAGGTGTGCTTGGCTTTGCTACTGCGATTTGGGTGTTCTTTGAATTGCTGGAGTACCACTTGCTTACACTAGTATGCCATGTACTGATTCTTGCTCTAGCGATCTCTTTCTTGCTGTCAAATGCATCAACCTTCTTAAAGAAGTGAGCTCTTTTCCCTCTTCATAATGCCAGTCACCTTGGACTGCTATGCTCTTTTGTTTAGCTACATGTTTAGTTTTTGCTTGGAGGGGTGATGTTTATTTTATTTATTCACTCTCACATTAGCTGCTTGGGAAGAAGTTGAAACTTGAAACGTGAAAATGAAAAATTAGAAAGAAGTACATGATTTAACTTTTTAGCTTTTTTGTGATGTGACATTGATGAATAAGGAAGAAATAGTAAAACTTATTTCACCTCTCTCATCGTAAATCATAATCCTAATGCTACCCTCGGAAATTAACCTTGTTTGCATGTACCAGGTCACCACTTCATATCCCAGAAGTCATTATTCCTGAGGATATTGTTGTTTCTGTAGCATCTGCACTAAGAACTGAAATTAATGGAGCTTTGGACAACCTTCGAGATATTGCATCAGGAAAAGACTTGAAAAAGTTTCTTGGTGTAAGTTCTTTCTATATTTAATTTGTAGTATAACAAATATTGTCAAGTTTTGGGTTCTCTTAGGATCTGTCTGCATTTTTGCAACGCAGAAGTAGTTGGGAAATCAAAAAAATATTCCAAGGAAATGGATACATTAATGTGTGGTTTTACAATTGGAAATGCATAGGAATATGACATTTGATCAAAACATGTACATATTTTTTGATTTCATAGCCTTTATGCAGTAAATTTTGTAAATAGAAAAAATGAATTGGATCGAACATCGATAAATCATTTTTTAATTGCACCAATTCTTCCCCAATTTCACCTGCATCTTTTTTTTTTTTCAGAATTTCTTATCAATTTTCCTTCATAATTTCTCCTGATAATAATCACCTTCTTCCGATGAGATCCTTGATAATTGATAATGATATGGTTTTTGGTATTTTATTTATGAGCAGGTTATTGTTGGCCTGTGGATTCTCTCAATCTTGGGGAGCCAATGCAACTTCCTTACCTTGTTTTACATCAGTCAGTACTTTCACTTTGATGCATATAGGTGACTGTACAAAATATTCTTACAAAATTTTATTATTATTCTTTATTACCTTGCCACAAACAGGTTTTGTGTTGCTCCACACTGTACCTGTGCTGTACGAGAAGTATGAGGATCAGATTGACGCCTTTGCTGAGAAGGCTGGTGTTGAAATAAAAAAGCAATATGTCGTATTTGATGCCAAGGTTCTCAGCAAAATTCCCAAAGGCCCCCTGAAGGGAAAAAAATTGGCATAGTTACATAGATGCTTGACTCTCTGTTCGAGTATTGTGCTTTTAATTAACTATAACATGTTTTGTGGAAATTGTTCTTCCATTTATTGGATTTGTTTTTGTGACAAATGATGTACAAGTATAACAGTTCCAAAGCCCATGAAATATTATAGGTACTCGTGACTAAGATTTCCTCATGAACATGGTTCCAGATCCTATTGATACTCCTTTCCAAGAGAAGCCAAATATAAGTCATATTGGACAGGTATGCTCCAGATCACCACTTCATATCCCAGAAGTTATATACAGGACATGGTTCTGGATCATACATTGAACATGTTTGTACAAGTGGATTGTCTTTAACAGGTAGTATGATCCAGATCACCTGCATTAGATTGATCCCGTCCTACCACATTCGAAATGAATAAACTAAGCGTAATGTAGAATACCAAAACAAACAAGACTGCTGATGATTAACAAAAATTGCAAATCGTAAAGAAATAAAATAGCAATGAGTCAATGTCCAGTCATGCAATACCCTTCCTCTTCTGGTTTTGTAAGACATGCCTATCTGTTATGCCTGCTTGATCACCAAAAACTTTTGTTCTAATCTTATACTCATTAGTCTTATGAAAACGTAGTACAACCCTCCACTTTCAAGTAGTGCCTTTGAAACTGTGGCTTTTTAAACTTCCAACTCAGAGCCAGCCGTTCATCCTGTGGTGGTGTGGTGGTTTTGCAGGCGGGGGCAATCAAAGACTCAAAGAGTGGTGCTATAAATCTGTTGAGAAAAATGTGTTCAGAATTGGAGGAGTACCAATGTACCGTCAATGGTAGTGAGCATCACATAGTGGAGGAATTTGAATCATTGATTTGAGAAAGTGTCATTAATAAAATTTATAAAATATTAACAATTGAACTATAGGGTCATTTTCTTGACGAAATGAAATTATTACAACAATAAACAAACTTTAGTCTCAAGAGATTTCGGAGTCGGCTAACATGAATCGATAAATGATATCAGAGTCAAAAAGAAAGTACAGATAAAAAGATAAGGTTAGATAAAAAGGATAAGATAAAGATAAAAGATAAATGTAAAAGGCATAAAAAGAATATACATAAAGTAAAAAGGGTTAAAGGAAAGAAGAAAAAGAGGAGTTTTTCACAAAAATATTTGTCCTCCAGTTTGTTCTCTCTAAAGTTATATTCTAATTCCTCTAAAGTTATCTCCCTCTCCTCCCTGCCCTTCTCTTCACCTCTCAATTCGTCTAACAAGTGCATCACTTAATCTTCTACATACATGATGAAATCAAATCATTGATTCTAAAAAAGGCACACCTAAAATAAAAGCAAATGAATCATAACATAACATTCTGGAAACCTCAAATATGAAGGTACAGACTTAAAAGTCTACCATTGGTTCCATCAAGTTAACAACATGTTTATTAACTTAATCAGTTACTATCTATAAATTATAAGGAGTATTCAAATGTGTTTTTTTTTGTCTGATTTTGCTGAGTTTTTATCTATAAACTTCTCGTTTTCTACGTGTAAAGTTGTAAACATCGAGGAAAACGACAGTGATGTCGACTGAATTATTTTACACCAAATATGTTACTCCATCCCTTCCTAAATAAACTTCCAACTTTCCTTTTTCGTCCGTTCCAATTAAAACTTCCACTTTCTCTTTTTGGTAAAGAATTTGTGGTTCACAACATTTCTTACACATTTCTCTCTCCTCTGCACAATTCTCCACCACATAATATCCACTATCTTAAACTTTGTGTCAAATCCATTTGGAAATTAAAATGGGAACGGAGGTAGTAATTGAATAGGAAGAACAAAAAAGATATTATATGTGTGTGTAGATATCAATCTTGTAATTGAAAGGAAAATTCGCTTATCTTTGAGAGCCGACCTGTCGTCTTTGAGAGCATGTTTGATAACCTTATTTATTTATTTTTATTGAAGATGACAATTTTAATTTTTCCCATTTTTTACTTGCTCCCTCCGGTCCTAAATCAAATTCACACTTTCCTTTTTGGGTATGTCCAAAATAAACTTCACACTTCTTCTCCCTTTCTTATTTGGCAAATTATTTACATCAAAACAGTGCAAAACAATGACAAACAGTGCAAAACAGTGTCAAATAGTGTCAAATAGTGTCACAACAGTGTACTCTACAGTAAAGTCAAATTTATTTCCTGAATTTGTACTGTCGTGTGAAGTAAAACATTTAATTTGTTTCGGAACCGGAGGGAATATTTCATTTAGAAAATATATGATTAAATAATATTCATGGACATAATATGATTTTTTGTAAAGTTTTCGCCTAAGCTACTCCATTTCACTTTTAATATCACATTGCTAATGATCTTAATTCGCTAGTGACCGCAAGTGTCCAAGCAAGAAATATAAGATATCTTTACGTCAATTTCTAGTTTTTTGCAATTTTTTGCATTAGTGATTGATCAGTGGAATTTAGAGCCCGTTTAGTAACACCAAAAATCCAAAATTGATTGAATTGGTTGATTCTGCTGAAATTTATGAAGTTCTGATTGAAGTGGTTGTATTAGCTAATTGATTCATGAAAAATAAATTGAAATATTTGTTATTAATAAATAAAATAAAAAATTATATGAAAAAAATAACTAAAATGATCCTCAACATTAACTTCAGCCAATACAACCAGAAAAGTAATTTCAACCTTACTTTTTCTGCTTATTACACAATTCAGTGCGCGAAATCAAAAATTACGTATTTGGTAAAAAAAGTTGACTGATAAGTCTGATAAGCCGAAAAAATATGTAACTACGGGCTCTTAGTTTTTTCTGTTGAAGAATTTAGATTTTGAGTCTCAAATATCAATAACAACTTTATTAATATTAGTTCATTCTCCGAATTTGGTCAATTCTGATGTTATTTAGTGTAGTTTATTGCATCAACGCAAACTTAATTCATTAATTAACTAACTCTAAATTGAATAAAAAAACGTGCCATGGTGGATGAATTTCACTTCTACAAGCTTAAATTATTCGTCGGTCGCTAAAAATGGTATGAAAGGAATTATGTGTAGGAAACCACATTCATTCACCTTGGCAACAAACACATCATGTTGTGGTTTATTCGTCATCCCACAAAACCCCAAAGTGCTTGTTTTTCAGTATTTAGGTAATCTTGATTCCCACCATTTGCACTTGCACAATGCCTTGGAAAATGAACAAATTTGATCTTTGGAAAATTGAAAAATGAAATTGTAGTTTTATTGTAGTTAGGCCTGTCAATGGGTTCGGGTCGGAACGTAGTGTTCCAGACCCAGACCGACAGACCCGCTAAGTTAGTAATGGATCCAGACCCGACCCGTTTACTTGGCGGGTCTGAAAATTTGGACCCAAATCCAAACCCAACGGGTCTCAGAACTGGGTTGGGTAGATGCGCCAATAATAATGATATGCACAACATTATAAACTTTGTGAAAAATAACATGACCTGTATATAAAATGTAAAGCAATGTGCACAAACTTAAAAACAAAATATATCTTCACTTTCAAAACACATCAAGATTTCTCATAGAAAATAAGCACTTTTATCTAATAAAATATCGGTTCTTGTAGAGACGTATAACTCCAGTGTGTTTCGCTTTCTCTCGCATAGAAAGCTCGTAGAATAAACTTGAAATTAGGTCACAAAAAGGTCTCTTGCACTAGTGAGAGTATAAAAGCATACGGAGTATTATATATGAGAGTGATATAATAATATTAATATTTAATAAAAAATATTGGGCTTTACCTATATGATTACAAACTTTATGATTACGTATAAATGACGAAAATGAGTATTAGTTTTAGGATATCTTAATATCTCGATCAATATCACTTATACAGTAAGTACGTATTAGTGTGTATAATTTTAATTGAAGAATTACAACTAATAACTTTATGTATTATTATGTGTGTATGTTTTGTGTGTATCGGTTTGTACTCCCTCCGTCCCGCAATGAACTTTTCACTTTCCTTTTTTGGATGTCCCAGAAACAAGTTCTCATTTCCTTAAATGACAAGTTAATCTACATCAAAACAGTGTCAAATAATGCAAAACAGTGTCGAAACAGTGCAAAACAGTGTCAAACAGTGTCAAAACAGTGTCAAAACAGTAAAATTTACCCCATGGTAAGTTTATTTCCTTAATATGTGTGTAGGTTAAACTGTGAAGTTCATTGTGGGACAGAGGGAGTATTTTTTATTTGAAGTATTATGAGTAACCATTTTATGTATTAGTGTGTGTACTAATAAAATTTTAAACGAGTTAGGGTCCTTAACGGGTCGGAATCATATGTACCATACTGACCCGTTCATTAAAAATACTAATGGGTCAGGATCCGGATCCGGGTAAACGGAATAAAATATAGACTCATACCCGTTAAAAGCAATCGGGTCCGGGTCTAGACCCGATCCATTGACGGGCCTAATTGTAGTAGAAAACAAGGATGGTTTCAGAAAATGAAATTATCCAAATCGGGTCCGTTACTGTATCATTTTAATCCATATATTATTCACTCATCATTTCATTTTATTACTTAAAATTTGCTCTTTTTCCAAATAAACCTTATTCTACGACACCCCATAAGTATGGTACATTTTAAATATGAAATAATTGCCAAAATAAACCTGATTTTAATATTCTAATGCGTTCATCATCAAGTAGGTTCTGAAATACAGTAGTACTCATATATTAGTATTATACTCCGTACTACGTATGATTTGTTTGTATTCAGCAAATACAACCTCAGTTGGAAGATTCTCATAGCAAAACGGCACGATTATTTAGACAATAATTAAATAAAGTATTTTGAGTATATTTTAAGAAATAATTTTAATAGGTATATTATATATATTATAATGTAGTTAGTATTGATAACTGTGATTTTATAAATGTATTATTTTTAATATTTAATGACTAACTTGTCACTTAAGATTGTTAATTATTTTCTAAAATGAAAATGAGAACATTTATATGGGACGTACAAAAAAGTAAGTGAAACCTTCTAATAATGAGACGGATGGAGTACTTTTTTATTTGTCTATTCCCAATTTTTGTTAATTTTTAAATTAGTTTTTATCTTCGTTTTCCTTGTAATATTCTAATGAGTCCATTTTCTAACTCTGTAACTCTGTATATTAAAAAAATAAAAAACTAGACATATTTATTTACAT